ATCCTCTACAGGATCAGTATCAGTTGTAGCATCTTGAGGTATCACAACCTGATCATCATTATTACCACTTGATTCAGGTATCCTCTTATACGGAAATACGTCTTCAAAGAAAGTAACTTCCTTTGACTCAATAACCGTATTAGCATGTATATCTGAGACATCAGATTTATACACTAGAAACCGATAAGCACTACTATTAAGTGCATAACCGATGAATACACAATCCACGGTTTTAGGTCCGATTTTCAACCTTTTGGGTTTAGGAACCGCAACCTTAGCCAAGTACCCCCACACTCTTAAGTATTTCAGGGATGGCTTCTTTCCTTTCCATACGTCGTATGGTATGCTCTTTGTCAAACACCCCCACACTTAAAGATAATTCAAGGTAGGCTCCCTACCTTTCCATATTTCATAGGGGATATTCTTAATTTTCTTGTGGGGTACTTTACTGATTATATAATTTGTCATTAAATGACTTTGCCCTACAAACCAGACATCAACAACATCATTTTATTTAATGTCTGGTTCTTTATACGCAATCACATTAAATTGCAACACCATAAGGAGCAATCCTTTGATATATAGTACCAAACTCAAAACAAAATTCCTCAAAGAGAACATCATTCCTCTCAACAATCCCATTGGATTGTGGAGCATAAGGAGCCATCGTTTGGTGTAAAATTTCAAACTCTAAACAAAATTCCTCAAAGGGACATCATAATCTCCCCCTCGATCGCTCCTTAATACCTTAACCTTTCAATTTAACATTATTCGACTATAACACATATATCAAATAATAAATTCCAATTTAACCCTAAAATGATACACAATCATCATGTCATTTAGAATATTCAAAGTCATTCATTGACCTTGATCATGCCATCACTAAGATAGCTTTTTGAGTTCACATAGTATCAAATATTTCACTAGATATAAGGCTTTTATATCCATCAAAGCACATAGTGCATTTTTAAGCAAGAGTTATCACTTGTCTAAATCATAAAGTTAAAACTTTCACATTTATAAGTCACGGGTTAATGGATATCAAACACCATCATATACCGTCAAATCCATTAAGTGTACCATATACAAATGAATGCCAATAAATGCATAACATTTCACACATAATAATTAATATAACAAAATATTCATGTCATAAATATTTCTCATTTATCATACTATATACCATTAAATGGCATCAAATTTCACTGCATTTCTCATTGAACCAGCATCAAAGTAAGCACATCAAACCAAAGGTCATATATCAATTTTTGGTACCATGCTTATAAATATATAAAGCCATTTCACAAAAGACTTAATATAATTGGAAAAACCATCAACCATCAAACCGGATTCATCACAAATCATGGTTGTCTTTCACGAAACATTTCTTTTAGAATAAAGCCATGCATATAATTAGAACAAAGATTCACAAAATTCAAGATATTATATAGCAATATTTTCATGACAGTTAGCACATAAATGTCTTTCCCACAAAGACCTTGTCCATTCTTTTAATGGAAGCACCCAAAACGAAAACACTATATATAAACAAGTTTTCCATAAAGGCAAAAATGCATGAAAACGACTGTAGTAATTTTCCATATTTCATCATGTCATGTAATGTATATATATACATAAAAGACAATCCACGTACAGGGAATTGAAATGAATTTGAAAGTCAATATTCAATCACGTAAATCAAAGCACAAATTCAATCCATGAAATATAGATGATATAGAATGCGTAATATTGCACATTGCACACAAACCAGAAAAGGTGGCAACAGTAGAAAAAATTCTAACTTCTTATACAAGAAGCACGAAAACCGAGAAGCAAATTAACACAGAACTATAGCAAAGGAAAACAGTGTCGGTTCAACACAAAAACCGTTATTCAACTATAAGGAAAATCCTATATTATGAACGAAAAATCCATACTTTCGTAATTAGATGCAGATTAAAGGCGTCACTTCCAATATTCAAACACAGATGAATATTCAAAGAAAAATCGATACTGCTAAAAACTAAAAACATGTATTAATATTTATAAAATATCAAAATAAATATTCCACCATTTGAATGTTCACAAAACAAACACTCAACACAAATTATAAATTCCATTTCTGTTACACAAACAGAATCCGAAATTAATCACACAGATTAATCACAAATGAATTAATCACACAATAGATAAAAACAGAAACAGTATATAAAATAAAATACAGAATATACTGATCACAGGCTCAAAACACCGAAATTGTCTTAAGATTGTTATTGAAGACAGTGGGTGATATTATATCACTAAAAGATTGAACCCATGTATAGAACCAGAGGAGGTAGATGATCAGAATTATCACTGTGCAATTATAAATATTAAAATTAAAGAACTGACTTACTTGAAATCAGATGATGATGCAAGCAGAATGATAGAACAGATAGAATGATATGTCAGAAGTAGAGGAATTAAATCCGAGCCCACAGAACGTGTCTCCTTAAGACAATTTGCCCCTCACTGATGCCTAAGGTTAATGGACACTTGTCTCCCAGGATAGAACGGATTACATCTGAAGAATGGTGGCACTACCAATCAACAGCCCAAACGAACACAACAATTGCCAGAGGAAATCACACTGGAGGATGAACAACAGTATGCAAAACCGGAAGGAGAAAAATTCCGGCAGAGTTTAAGTGCAGAAAACTGGATTCATTTTATGAAGGTGTCAGTGTCTATTTATAGATACTGACCGGTCATGTTTCAAAAGGCACCTATTCGACGACGAAACAACACATCTGTTGGACACGAAAAGACACATTCGTTCAACACGAAAAGACACCCATTCAAGGATGAAACAACATATCCGTTAGGATGAAACAACATGTTCGTTAGGATGAAACAACACATCCATTAGGATGAAACAACACATCCTTTAGGATGAAAAGATACATCTGTTTGTCGACGAAAAGACATACCCTTTCACTACCAAACTTCTTATTCATAACCAATAGATTGTCTACACAATTTATATATATATATATAAATTCCAACAAGATGCACTTGGAAGAAAGAAAACCAAGACACAAAGGACAAAAAAAAAGGATTACAAATTACAATGAAGCATGACAAGACTCAAAAGTCTCAACATAATTAAAATAATAATGTATTTTATAATAATTTTGTTAAATTTTTATTAATGTAATTAAAACATAATAAGGAATACTTAAAATATGTCAATTACTAAAATATAAAACTTTATTAAACAAATTAGAAATTTAAAAATAAAATAAAAAAATGGTAGGAAAATTATTTCTACGAAACCAACTTCGTATACCTATGGGGAAAAAAGCAGCATTAAGAAATTGGTTTTTTTAAATTGACCTTTTAAGTTATTTGTTTTATAAATTAATAGTTTACGTTGGGGAGTCAATTTAAAAAAGGATAAAGTATTTATTATTATTTTTTGGAAATACAATGAAAACTAAAGTAACATCAAAAAAGCCTTATATTGGGCACAATCTTGGGAGACTAACTCCCCTCAAGTCATTACGAAGCAATTCCAAACAAGCCGTTGGAGGGACATCCAGCACAATCAGCTGTCCATCCTGATGAGGTGCATGAGTAGCAAGCCAATCAGCAACAAAATTGTCTTCTCTATAAGTATGACTAAGCTGAATAATCCAGTCTCTTTGAAGCATGCTACGAGCTTGGATGATTAAAGCAGAAAGAGGATGACTTACGTCACACCCTTTTCTTATAAATTCCAAAGCCACCTTGGAGTCACCCTCCACAAAGACTCTCCTAAATCCCTTATGCCAAGCCAGGTCCATACCTGTCAAGAACCCCCAAATTTCCTCTGAAGTAGAAGTACCACTCCCAAGGAATTTTGTAAAACCAGTTAACCAGTCCCTTATGACTCCACCACATGCAGTCCTTTGCCCACTGTCTATGCTGGAACCATCCACATTAAGTTTAACATAACCCTCAGAGGGAAAATTCCAGTGAATAAGACGTTCCTCTCTTCTAAGCTCCTGATGACCAATCTTAATAAGGGTTTCATTAGCCAAATGAATATTACCACAAATGTAGGTAATGCGCCTAATGAGACCATACTTTGAGGTGCTAGTTTGATCAAAAATCGCCTTATTTCTTTCTCCCCACAAACACCAAGCTATCACCCCAAAATATAAAGGCCAAGTTCGACCAGTTTGAAACGGACCTTTTAATCCTAGATTTGTATCCATAGGTGAAGATCCATGGAGAAAAAGTCACTACGGTTATCAGAAGGAACCCAATGCTCCCATAATTCCCTGGCACCAGGACAATCTCTAATGGCATGTAAACTATCCCCAAGATTATAATGACATCTCAGACACGCTGCATCTGTAGCCATGTGACGATGCACTCTACGAACATTAGTTGAAAGAGAACCTCTGTAGAGAAGCCATAAGTATTTATTATTTTAAATGACACAAGCTTATATCATTTTTAATGAAATTAAGTTATTTTTGATATTTTTTTACATTTTTTTCTTTTTATAAAATTAGTAAGAAAAAAAAGTGGAGTAGAGAGAATGCAAAAATACATTAAAATAGTTTTATTAAAAATGACACAAAATTATATTATTTAAAATGACAAACATTTTTTCCTTTAAAAAAAACTAATTTTCAGCAATAAAAAAATGTATTTTGAGAATTAAAACTGAAAGTGTGGTAATATAAAAAATAAAAGTAGATATTGCAATATGGGAAATAATTATCTCATTTTATATAAGGTAATTATCTCATGCATTAGATACAAATTGGATGTGGGACCCACTTTAAATTTTCTCTTTCTCTTTTATTCTCTCTTCCGTATGTATGTGTATGTAGGAGATTGTTTTTATCTCATGCTAAATGAGAAAAACAATCCCCTTGCCATATTTACAAATAAAAAAAAAAACCTAAAAAAGGAAATTAAAAAACAATTTATAGAAGCTTCTCAAATCAGAGTCCATTTGGGCGCGAAGGGTTATCCGTTGTTTAACAATTTTCCCTCTTCTCCGCCTTTAGCGTCACATTAGAATTCGACTCAGCCAACGAAGAAATCAAAGAACGAATCTTGTTCCGTATTTACCTGCGCCACCAATATTTCAAGGTGATGTCTCATTTGACTTCATCCATTTTCCTTCAATACAACTTTTTTTTTCAAATCTGAGTTTTCCAATTTTATTGCCCAGTAATTAGATAATCTGAAAATTACTAGTTTTTTCGATAGTTCAGGAAAATGCTGATAGCTAAGTGGATAAAATATTAATGTCATCGATTAATCTGGTCAAACCCTGATTCGTCTGGTTTTGGGAGTTTAAGAGCTGTGTGTGTGTGGGAGCTTCAAGCACAGAAAAAAGAAAAGGATCTGTGTGTATGTGGGACTTGTTAGATTGTACAAACTGAGTTTTCAATACAATTGTTTAGACTAAAGTCTATTTTAATGGTTTTAACAAAAGCAACTAGAACTAGGCTAGTGGTTAGGGACTTAGGAAGCTTGCATGAGATCATAAATTCAAATTTTAATGCCACTATGTAACCAAATTAAGAAAGGGTTTTCCTCAATTTTCTTCTGTTTTTCTTTTTCCATTTTACTCCTTTCAATTGCATTTGATTCATTCTTCTGGTTGAAGCCTCTGTTGTTTTTCTTCTGGCATGAGCAAACTTCCTTAGGCTAGTTTTTGTTATCTTTGCTTTAAATGCTAAACAAGATAAGTGATTTAAATAATAAAATAGACGATAATATTGATAGAAATATTGTAAGCATAAACTTTCATACAGCTCGAAAGAATAGAGAAAATTGTTAGTAGCTGAGGGCAATGTCTAGTATTTGAGGAATGGTGATAATATAATAACATGGTGATTTATCTTATGCAATTTCAAAATGACGTTATTTTGGTATAATAAGAGATAACTTTATCTCCTATGATACACCGCACACACACAACACAAACACATATATATATAACATTTTGGGTTTAGGTCCATAAAAATCTTGTTAAGTACTTAATTAAGGCACCAATATTCATTTAGTATTTCAAGAACCAATATAATAAAAGTGTTCAGCCTTCATCCTAGCTAGTAGTTTATATAATATAATAATCTTATAGAAAATGAGGGTTGGATATGTTAGGTCATTACGTGATTAAATAAGACCAATGCATATTAGGTTTTGAAAAAAAAATTGTGAAGGTCACTGATGAGTAAAATGAGTTTTGCAGAAAATAGGTGTACAAAATTTATATGAGCATGTTTGATGTTTTGCATAACTTGAAATATTGGAAAAGTACTGAATATTATTTCACACATTCCAATGTACTTCGGTCTATTATATAGGCTAAGCCAAATAAAAGAATGGCTAAACTAAAAGAAATTAAGACTATATTACAAAAGGCTTTTTACAGCAACATAATTTTATTGAATCCTTTGGAGGGATTAGGTTATTGAGTATTTATAGGTGTTGACTCTCAAAGATAAAAGCTAATTACGGTATCAGTACATTAAATTCTATTGATGTTTCTTCTAATTCAAACTGTAATTTTGTTCTGAATTTAGCTGTATTCTATATTAAATGACTAGAAGCACCTAGTAAAAGAGGAACCAAGCTTCTATACTATAATATAGATGCAAACTTATGTTCTTTCTTTCCCTAACTTCTTGCTTTGTGTAGTCTGTGAAGAAATCTTCAAAATTGTATTTTTGTTTCTTCTCTCTTGCATGCTTAGTGAGAAGGAGAAATGGAACCACCGCAGCCAGCTTCTAGAGGAGCTGAAGCAATTAAAAATCTGTCTCCTGGATCATCAATTTCTGTTGCATATCACCCGCTTTTTGGACCTCATGATGATCTCATCCTTCTAGAGCTTGATGAGAAACTTCTCCCAGATGTTCTGCATGAAAGGTATGCATTGACCAATGTTAAGTTGTTTGTATGTAACTCTTCCCCTACTTTTCCGTTCCCCAACTTTTGTTTTACTTTAACTTGATGATTATTCTATGCTAGGGTGGTCTTAAGAGGACAACCTGATGAAGATGCAGTTCTTTGTACTCAATCCAAAACATATGCTATGAAGTTTGTTGGAACTTCCAACTCTGTTTTGCTTGTACCACCAGCAAATCAATCAGAATCTTATGAAAATCCACTAAAGAGTGATAGTATTAATTGTGAAGAGAAAGTTGTTGCACCTGTGATCAAACTTGTACCTGGTAATATGGAGCTTAATGAGGTTTCCCCCAGACTTGATAAACTTAAATTGCTTCTTTCAGAGAACCGTTACAGGTTCGAGGAGGATGACATGGAAAACTTAGAAGAGAATCACGAATCTAGAACAGGATTATATAACTGGAATGATCTTACAGACAATATTCAAGCTAGTGATGAGGAATTAAGGTGCGGACTGCAGGCTCTTTCAGCTGTGGAGATTAATGGGTATTGGAGAATAGTAGATGAGAGTTACATGAACATGATTCTGGAAATGCTTTTAAGAAATTCAGTGTTGAATGACTGGTTACTTAATGCTCTAAATGTCGATGAAGTTGTGAGTACGCTGGAATCGGATGGTTTTCCTGGGGTACTTGCAAGACATTGTTTGCATGTATATGGCAAGGAAGTAAATAGTGGCATGGATATCTGGAAGTTGGATGAGAAGCGGGTATGCATTCATTTTGCAAGAGAAATCTTGAGAGGAGGTAAGAGGAAGTTAGAGAGTTTTATGGATGAATGGAGGCAGAAGACTCCTGAAGGAATGCAACCCACTTTTGATCTTGTGGAAGGAGAGGTTTTGACAGAGAGAATTGGAATTGAGACATGGGTTCGCGCCTTCAGTGTTTCTTCTTTGCCTTCCACTCCAGCTGAACGTTTCTCCATTCTTTTTAGGGAGCGGGCAAAATGGGAATGGAAAGATCTTCAGCCCTATATCAGGTTAGATCTCATAATTTTTTATTACCTTAAAATGTATGGTCGTTTTTAGATTTGATTTAATTTCCCCTTTTTGAATGTTTCAGGGATCTGAATGTACCAGGTCTTTCTTTGGAAGGTTTGCTACTCAAATACACTCGAAAGACTCAACCATCGCCTGATAGAGAACCAGTTTTCAGTGCAAGATAGTTTGTACTTGTGTATCTTTCACAGTCATTCCTGCCTTCCCTTCACTTTGGATTGATTATTATTAGAGATATAAATATTTTATTTTATTTTTAATTGAGATATTCTAGATCTTTCTATTTTCTTTTTATTTTCTAGTTATGTTCTTCTATATAAGAGCCCCATATGTACAAATGGATTAACCAATCAATGAAATCAATATTTTTCATTTTATCTCTTTTACCTTCTAACACGGTATCAAGAGCAATTTTTCATCCTCCATGAATGGAGGTTCCGTTGCACTCATAATATATATATTTTTTTGATCATCTTTTCCGGCCACTTTCCGCCATGCATGATTTTCCGGCGTGTTCTTCATTTTTTTTAGTTGTTGGTCATCTCTTTTTTCTAGCACCTTCCACGCGATCTCTCCTTTTGGTTGCTCCAAATTTTCATGTGTTTTCCAAATCTCTCTAGCAGCATTCCAAATCTGTGGTTCCATCTACCCAGATCTGTGTTCTTCTCATTTGTCATTTGTTGCAGGTCATCTTCTCCGGCGACTTCTATATCTCTCAGATCTGTTTCATTTTCTTGTTCGTCGAACCTCCATAAACCTTTGTCGTGTCTTTCTCTCCTCCGGCTGCGTTTCTCTTCTTCCGGCCATGTCCTTATCTTTTCCAGCATTCTCCGGTCATTTACATTACGGATTAGTAATTTTTTTTTTCTCCCCATCAGAGCTTGTTTGGGGGTACACATTTGTTGAGTTTTTTTTATATCCTTTTTTGTTTCTTCTATTTCTCTCTCTCTAAGTGAAAACTTCAACAAACCAACTCCCATTATGGTGAACAAACACAATGCAATACAAAGCCACTAGCCATTGCAACAACAACAGCCACAATGTTAACAGTCATTGTCGCCACCAAAACCCAAACGTACAGGGGATGAATGGTTGGGTCCTGACCAAAAAGGAAATTCAGTCCCATTAGGCCAACCCAATTCACACGTTGCCGCCCACCAACCTAATCCAATCTAAGTTGTGATGGAAAAACCAATGCAGTGTTTGGACACGATTAAATGCTGCCTTGGTGAGTGCTAGGGGAAAAACGCAGGGCAACCGACAATGTGCAAGGTCGCATGTTGCGAAATTGGCAAGTATACCGTTCGTTTCAAGTAATAAAAGTGATGAGTAAAGATTGTTCCCTCGAGGGTTAATGCACCAATGACTAATTTTAACTATTCCTTTTTTAATTGGAAAAGAAAATTGGTTTGGTTGTGAAAGTGATTGGTTGTTGTAATTTTAAAACAGAATTTTAAAACCAATAATATTTAAAAACATGCAAGAGTATAAAGAATGACAAGAAAGTATGAGATTGAGTAAAAATTGTAAAAAGATTGTAGCCAGGAAGCACTTCATCTCCAATTCTCCCTTATATTCCTATATTGTATTTTATAATGGGAAAAACTATTTTTATGCTACATGTGATAAATTTCTCTCCTACACACCCTTCGATAACTGTGCCACTTTTTTCTTTTCTTTTCTTTTTATTTTCAGGTGGTGGAGCCCACAAGTTTATCTCTATGACATGAGATAACTTATCTCCTTTAACATGAGATTAATAAAACCCTTTTATAAATAACTAATTTGTTTGTTCGGACAATTCATTATTTTCCTATAAAATAGTTGAACCCTAATGTGTTAGTGATTTCAACCCTTTAATCCAATTAGAATCCTAGTGTCTTAGTAATTCCTCTTGAATCAAACATTAAGCAAATGAATTAAAAGTCTGCAATCTATGTAAGCCTATATCTAGGTCATGCACAAATTATTATTCTACCCTTGTCCAGATTAAAATCTCAATATGTCTATTGTGAGCCCTAACCCTCAAAGCCTTATAATTAGAGTGATCAGTTCTAATAAGGATATGGAAAAATTAACACAGGCAGAATAAAATAAACTAACTAATTAACTTATAAAAACAATACAGGAAATATAAAGAATTCACATTGGGTCCATGATCCCAACTACAAAAAGAAATTAGCCAGACATATTCATGTCTGACTTAAACAAATTAAAATAAGAAAAATTGTTCACGAAGGAAAAAGAAAAGAAGAAGAAGAAGAAGATGAAGGATCAATGGTCTTCAGTTTTCAACTCCGTCGGAATCCTGATCTCCAGCGTGAGTTTCCAAGAATATGTTGGAGTCAAGGGAGCCATAGGAATATGGAAACTTGTGAGTCATTTAGTCCATGAGCTGAGGAATCAGAGTTGGTAGTGAAAAGACCTGATCAAAGCCAAAAGTGTTAAGGCTTGAGTGGAAGAATATAGCTATTTAAGAATGGAATAGTGGATCCGTTCCTTCTGTTAAAAACTGTTTCTATCACTCCATATTGTTGTCTCTTAATTATTGTTATTATTATTTGCATTACTTTTCTTTTTTCAATCTTTTATCAATCATTCACCCATGAATATTGTTGACCCTTCTCTCAACAAGAAGGATATCATATATAACGAAGCGAAGAACTATTTGCTGTCAGATTGAACTTATTGTTCTTGAGGAACGTTGTCAAAACAGTAAGGAACGTTTGACCAAACAGGTCAATTACTAACTTTTCTTTTCATTTTCATTCTTTTTAAAATAGTTAAAGGCATTAATTAGAGTACTATCCTCGTGGGAACGATAATCTGGGCACTAATAGTCCCACTTATTACTTGATGTGTGCACTTGCGCACTTGGGTTGAAGCCAAGAGAACGAAAGTGTTTTCTCTTGATGAACTAAAGTAAAGGAACATCCTTCATCATAATATTTTAAGCAACCAAAAAGTTCACACCCAACAATTAGAAATTTGTTTACCTTGACGAGAACATCTTCCACTATACCATGTGCTTGCTTTGTTGAGCGGTCGGCCAGTTGAATATTCATCCTCGTTGGCTTTACTTCATTAATTCCCAGCTTTTTCATCAGGGTGAGGGGCATCACATTTATGCTAGCACCAAGATCGCATAAGACTTTCTCTATAGTCGTCTTGCCGATGGTGCATGGAATACTGTCCTTCAACTTTGGAGGCAACGGGGCCAAAAACTTGTTGCGAATTCGGCAAGTATACCGTTCGTTTCAAGTAATAAAATGATAAGTAAAGATCGTTCCCTCGAGGATTAATGCACCAATGACTAATTTTAACTATTCCCTTTTTAATTGGAAAAGAAAATTGGTTTGATTGTGAAAGTGATTGTTTGTTGTAATTTTAAAAATAGAATTTTAAAAACAATAATATTTAAAAGCATGCAAGAATTAATCAAGAACGTCAAGAAAATATGAGATTGATTAAAAGTTGTAAAAGGACTGTATGATTGCACTGCACTCCTCTGTTAGTATAGCAGGTTCATCCTCAGTGAGCTTCTGCTTCTTAGACAATGTTTCCTTCAGGAACTTTGAATATGAAGGCATTTTCTCCAGAGCTTCTGCAAAAGGAATGTTAATTTGCAGTTTCTTAAAAATATCTAAAAATTTAGACAATTGCTTCCTTTGCTCATGTTACTTGTTCATCATGGGATATGGAGGTTTCTCAAAACGTGAGAAATCTCATTGCTTCTTCTGAACTATAGGAGGTTGCTCTTTTGCTTTTTCCTTGCCTTCTTGAGTGTGGTCATTCTTGCTTGTAGGAGCTTCCACTTTTTCTAGATCCTCGCTTTTAGTAGTGATGGCATTGCAGTGCTCCCTTGTGTTGATTATGGTGTCACTGGGGAATGTTCCTGGATTTCTCTTAGCTAATTGTCTTGACAACTGCCCAATTTGAGTTTCCAGATTCCTTATAGATGCTTCGTGATTCTTGAAAGCGGATCTGGTCTCTTGCATGAATTCATCGGTGGTCTTTGTCAACTGCAGTAAAGATCTTTCTAATTCAGATGGTTGAGTTATGGAATTGGAGGAGGTTGTAAATATTGGTTGGATTTGTAATCCAAACCTCCTCCTTGAACTCTCCTCCTTTGGAAGTTGTTCCCTGGAGTATTGTTCTGGTTTCTCTGGAAGTTCTGCTATGGTCTTTGATCATACCAGACTCTGTTAACTTGTAATGCATCTGATCCTACCAATGTTGGGCACTTGTTGGTCTCATGCTCTCCTTTGCAATACTCACAGTTAACTCAGTTAACTTGAGCTGTAGAAAGTTGCATCTTGTCCAATTTAGCATTCAAACTGGCGAGCTGTTTGAGATATGATCTTTTGTTCGGCTAACGATGCATCATTGTTTCCCAATTGTAGAAGTCCCTTTCTTGGTTGAACTGCCATTGATGCGTTCTCATTCCTTGCAATGTAGTCGATCAGCTCTAAAGTTTGAACTGTTGTCTTCTTCCCTATGGTTCCACCAGCTGCGCCATTGACAACCATTCTGGAGTCTGGTGTCATTCCATTGTAGAAGACTCTAACTTTCTTTCCGTCCGGCAAGTCATATTGGGGGCACTTTCTGATCAATTCTTGGAATCTGGTCCAAGCTGCACATAGAGTTTCTCCTGGCTGTTGAGTGAAGTTGGTAATTTCATTAACCAACTTGTTGTATTCCTCCATGGAAAAGTGCTCAGCGAAGAACTTAGCCGCCAGTTCATCCCACGTTCTGATATTGTCGGGGGCTTGTCTATCCAACCATCTGAGAGTTTTCCCTGTTACAGCAAAAGGGAACAGCTGGAGTCTAATTGCATCATCTGACATCCCGTGATGCTTGGTTGTATCACAGATTCTTAGAAATCTGTCAATGAAATCATGGGGGTCTTCATAATCTTCCCCACCAAATGGATTTTTCTCCACCAAGGATATTAGTGTTGGCTGGATATCAAAATTGTTAGCATTAATTGGTGGTCCGACGATGCTAGAATTTGGCCTAGTGAAAAGAGGAGCCAGGATTGATATCCAAAGCTTGGGTTTTAATCCCTTGTGTGCTCCACCACACCTAGTGGAAGGTTGTGGTTGGATTTTATGCTTCTTGACATAGTGTGTATATGTATGTTCATGCATTATTGCTTGATTGTGTGACATGCTTGGAGCATGTTGTGTGTGAAATGGTGTGATCTTTGGCCAGTAGATGTGTATTGGTTTGAACATCCGCTGGAGACATCCTTTGGGGATTCCGATCGGGTTTTGCCGTGGGGCCGACTCT